GCGCCTGGCTTGTTTTGGCGTTGCGTTGAAACGTGAGCTCGAACGTGAGAAGAATGTCAAAGGAAAACAGGTGAATATAGTCTACAATTATATGTATTTTGTTCAATGGTTTTAGAACATTACGTAGAATCAAAAACAGATTAGTAAAATGTGAATTTAGCGCCGAAACATTTGTCAAAATGGGACGAATTCGTGAATGTTTGGTACTATTGCCAGCATAGTATATAAACCAATCTCTTTTCCCAACGTGGCCAGGCATATTTTTTAAGCTTGCCCAGTGTGGATACACACTCCGAGCTATATATCGAGTAACATCACAAACATCATCATTCATATGAGTACATTGCACAAACACACACAATATATAACATTTTACATAGACACTATATTTAATATAGATTTTTAACGAAATCGTGCAGTTATATTAGGTATTTTTTGTTCATGCACTAGGAAGCAGCTATGGATTTTCTGGACAATGTGCTTTGTTATTGAAAGCTATAAATCGTGGCTTTCACTTTAACAAAACAATACATACAATATTTTATTGATGGAACTATTGAGATTGTGTTGAATTTTAAAATATCTGGCTTGTATTTTGATAAGTCGTGTTTACAATGCCAGCTCTGACCTGGCTTGAGCCAAGATACAGTAATTGTGGTACTTTACACTGTTTACATTGCCACAAGGTTACCCCATAATTGTAGGGGCCAAACCAAGACTCGAGCCTGGCAAAAACTGTCAGAAATGGCAGGAAGATACTGATTTCACAATTTAAAAAAAACCCAGCCCCAAGTTCTGTGAGGGCTTTAAATTTTTAATCTAAAATATTTCATTGATTTGTACTATTTAACTCTTTTGTTAGCTCTCCACCTATGAAGTGGTCGGAAGCACATGATGTACATTTCTTGAAAGAAATGACGTATTTTGAGCCATGGCTGCATAAAAAGGGGAGCAGTGAAAGAGGCGAAGCTTGGGCTAACTTGGCTACACGTTTAGGAAAGTGCAATGAATTGAAATTTCGGGTTACACAGAGGTCACTCAGAGACCGATATCTGCTGCAGGAGAGAAGGTACAAAAAGAAAGTTGTTGAAGAAGAAAAGAGCTCTGGGATATCCCCTGAATTTACAGAATTGGATCAGTTAATGGAGGATATTGTTACCATGTTTGAAGAGGCTGACCAAGCTGAGGTGGAGAAGAAGAAGGAAGTTGAAAAGGAAGCTGCTGAAATCCAAGAAGTGAGAAGAGTCTCTTTGGAGTCATTTAAAGAAAGCAGAGAAAGAGAACACGAACAACCAAAGAAGAAGAAGAGGACAAGTGGTGCTGATGCCATTTCTTTCATTAAAGAAAAAATTCAAGTGGAAGGAAAACAGAAAGAAAGTGAATTAGAGTTGAAAAAGCAGGAGATGGAGCTAAAGAAGGAAGAAATGATATGGGAAAGAAATCTAAAAGAACAGGAACTGGAGATGAGGAAGAAAGAACATGAAGAAAGGGTAAGTCAGCAGCAGAACTCTGCTAAATTACAAGAACAGACATTGCAACAAATGCACAACATGAATATGGCAATGTTGCAACAACAACAGCAACAAACCCAAACCCTTTTAACTTTGCTGCAAAAGTTTGCTAGCAAGTAGGTTACTTTGTTCTAATGTTCATAAACGTTAAACATGTTCTGATTAACATAGCTGTTTGGTTTTGTTACTTGGAGAGTAAATTTATACACACTTAGTGTAATGGGTTTTTCCAGAAAACATCCATACCTCCCCCAGAGAGGAAATTGGATGTTAACCCCCCCCCCTACCCCCTTTGGATGTCATAATACACTTACTATTATCAGAAACATTTTTTCTTCCCTCCGCCTCCAGACGGCAGAATTTTCCTCTGTGTGGAGAGTGTGGATCTTTTCTGGAACGACCCAATATAATACTCTGTATCATTGCGGCTGTGCCCATAACCTGACCCAGGTTGGATTCCGTGGGTGTTATGCTGGATATCTCCGGCATAAAATTTTCATAGATTCCAACCCGGAACCATTTTCGACATTTTGGCATGATTGTAGGTATATACATTGCTTGTATATGGCTATTTATAGCCATCTTTATGTTTTAAATTTGATTTTGGAAAATTTTCTATGTTCTGAGAGGCAGATTCATATTATATGATTTACTAATTTTTATATTTTATAATTATTATAAGCTTCTGCTTCCTTAATTAGCTGAAATGTGTTGTTTGACATTCTAAATCCCAGGATGACATGGGAGAATGGGCACTGCTGTACATGACTTCTACAGAAAATGTAATGCACACTATTTAAAATTAGGGTTTTTTGTTTTTACAATAGGTTGTAAGGCCCAGCAAATGACTCTCAAACAAGATATATACTGATTCAATGGTGAACAATAGTTTTTAATGTCTTAACAAAGAATCATTTGCTGGTTTGCTGTGTTATTATAAATTAGTAATTGTATTATTAAAAATGTAAATAAAAACAAAAAAATTCAGTTACCTTACATACTACAAGAGTATAGTAAGCTAAAACATTTTATGATATGAAAGTGGTTTTAAACATGTATTATTCTTTCAATTTTTATTTTGAACACTCATTATGTTTACTTGAAATATTTAACGAGAAATATGTACAGATGAATAACTGTGAATGTGTTTTATGTTATTGAAAATATTCATCAATTGTTGGTGGTTCAACATTAAAAAACTTTGCTGTTGTTGATCCATACAACATGGCTCTAGCATTATGTAGTAATGCACAGGTGACATACATTTTCCCCACAGCACTTAGGTAAATCTTTAAATTCTTTTTAAAATCAAGAAATTTAAAGTATGTAATTATGTCACCGAAAATCCACTCTACTGAAACTCGTACTTGGCTCATGGATTTATTCCATTCTTTTTGAATGTCTGTTAACATGGCTCCTCGGAAAGGACCTTGAATTTGTTGACTTGTTGGATAGGCTGGGTCACCGTAGATGCAAAGAATATTGCCATTAGTATCCAATGAGTGGTTCTGTGCTGTGGGAGGACTTGTGATTGTGCCAACATAGCACTATCATGGCGCTTCCCTTCTACTGGCCCAAATAAATTTGCAATTAAGCCGTTTGGTGCAACAATGGACTGAAATTTTAATGAATGGACTTTTTTGTGCCCATTGTATACGACTCTCTGGTGCCTACCAGGCCTAGATATGGGTCTGACAGTACCATCTATAAAGCCCCAACAGTTGCGTAAAGCTGCACCTTTCAAATGAATGGCCTCCGCAAAACTTTCCAATTTTGGATGGTCTAACCATGGCTGTTCAAACGTTGTGAACAAGTGATGCCAGGTATCGTATATAATATTCATTGTTTGATTTGCAATCATGCACAACTGAGGCTCTGGTTTAGAAAATCGAGGAATTAACTCAGCGTACCTGCATGGATAGGCGAAACGCTTTAAAAATATACACATTGCCTCAACCGCATCAACTTTAAGACCATTGTAACAGGTGAACTCAGCTGGTACACGAAGCACATCAATCAAATTGTATATATCATTTCTATAGAATCGAAATTCGGTCTTACATTCATCGTCTGTCATATTATCCAGATTAAAATCATCGTAGGCAAAATATGGAATATCAGGATTTTTTGGCTTGCTGGCATCATACAGAAGAGCATATTCTACGTCGTTTATTACGTTACACCCATAAGCAAAAACAATTGCATCTCTAAGTTTGGGCATTCCGAAATATAATTATCAAGTAAATTGTCAATTTACAATAGACGTCTTATATTTACAATCGTAAGGTTAAATTTCGGCGGGAAACGGCAACGTCTGCCGCGCTCTCGTTCCAGTCCCTAGACGTTCCCGTTGCGGTTGCCGTCGTGTAATCGTAAGGTCCCTAGTGACGAAACGCACCGTACGTGTCTCACGGCGCGACCTTCCTGAGGGTGTTGGTCGGGGGGCATGCCCCCCCCGAAAATTTTTGAAATCTAGAACCTCTGTAATGCTATATATTTAACAAATATAAAACATTTTCCGTGTTGATATACATGCAGTTATATCAACACGAGTGGAAGTTGGGAAAACAAGAAATTGTGTTTAACACAATTTCGAGTTTTCCCAATTTTCACGAGTGTTGATATAACTGCATGTATATCAATACGGAAAAAAGTTTTATATTTGTTTTATAATATAGCACAAAGAATCATAAAGAAAGAAATTTTCCGACGTTTCCGTGTTGACATTGAGTTATACCAACACGGCTCTTAGCCAATCAGCGTTCAGAATTTACAAATGCTATATATATAATTGCGGGAACAACTGAGTATTTTCATAAAATACAATACAACGGTAACTCCGAATAAAGTAAGCATTTTGATTCAACGTTTCGACTTTATTTAGTTATCATCAGGAATGGTTATATTACAAGTGCATGCGTTATACTATATATACTCTACGTAATTTGATATATAGTTAAAAGAAAACCGATAGTTCTCTGGATGCTTTAGTCCCATGATTCAGTTCCGGTTCTTGTCGATGAATGGCGAGTGCTTCTTTGAACAGCAGATTTGACCAGTGCTTAGCCCTGTCTATAATGTTGCAGTTGTTCAGTAGGAACGCTGTTAGGTTAAATTGGTCAGTGTTGGGTTCGTCTATGTTCAGTTGTAATAGATTTGTGAGATAGTTGAATTGTTCGCAAGTGTTAATGTGTTTATAAATCTCTGAGTTTTTGTCTGTGATTGCATGTTCGTTCAGTCGTGTGTAGAGGCATCTGTCTGTCTTTCCTATGTATGTTTTGCCGCACCCAGGACATGAAAATTTATAAACAACCGAACTTTGAAACTCCTTAGGTGTTTTATCTTTGCACGAAACAAAGCAGCCTGTTGTGGTGGTATCCCAATAAACAATGAACTTACACGGTTGTTTTAGTATTCATGAAATTTTTAGTTTAAATTTGTGCATAAGGTCAGTTCCGCGTTTACCTATGTATGGAAGTCGAACATAAACTTTACAAACTTGTTCTGTTTGGTCGTCGATGTGGTTGTTAATGTTAGAACTCATGTAAGCTTGATCCGCCTTAGGAGTAAATTTCTGTATAAGTTTGTTGGCCAATGTTTTAGGAAATCCGTACCAAGACATAAATATCCGAATTTTGCTCATTTCGTCCGAAATTAAACTTTCGTTACTACAAATTTTGTAAGCTCTATGCACAAGTGACCTAATCCACGCAATTTTGTACGACCACGGAGTGAAACTAGATAAATGGATATACTGGCCTATGTGTGTGCTCTTACGAAAAATCGAAGTGCCGTTAGATGTTAATTTGATATCCAAAAAATTTACCTCGTTGTTATCGACGAACTCTTCATGCGTGAACTGTATATCCGGATGCTAGCTGTTAAGTTATTTATTTATTTATTTATTTATTTAACTTCGCCATTATCATGCATGCATTCATGGCAGGGTCACCACAACAGTATATGTTAGTAGTAATATAGGTACCGTTCAACCCCCTTTTGCAGGGGGCCGCAGGGGGCCGCAAGGGGGCCGCACATTATATATGCAAGAATTACTATGCGAGGGGGCGGCGCACATTATATATGCAGGTAATTAAGGGGGCAGCACAAACGAGGGTGCGTAGTGACGTCATGCGGGGAGGATCAGGCAAGTAATGACGTCACGCGGGCAGGTTTAAACAAGGATGTGTGAGACTTGCTGACTAAGTATTTTTTAGCGTCTCTCCACGTGTATGATACAATGGAGGGATTAATCTTGGCATACTATGATTGGTTGTTTGATATAACGAGCGCCTGTATAAAATCGACAAGCGTCTTGTAACAAGTATCGTCTATATTTGTTCCACATCAGTCATGGCGTGTCTACACGGTCAAACCACATCTTACAATTTATTGGAAGGAATATTTGCGAATGCAGTCGCACAAGAAGTTGAAAGGCTTTGTGTGGAATCCTGTAATGGTTGTCAAGTCAGTCATCCTAGTCAAAGACAACATGACTGCCTCATGATGAACGAAAACGAACGATGGCAAATGTATGGTTTACAAGCGATCGAACGAGTGAATGGTAAGCGTATGGTTTGGAATGAATTCGCTGAGGCAATGAGGGTACTAAAACTGGCGGTTGATAGAGATGTACTCGAACATTTACAGCAACTGGAAAAAGATCCAGATTCTACGTTTGTCGATTCATTGATGGAACTACATCAGAACACTGAGAACCACGAACTACAATGTATACTGAACTATTTGTTTCATTGGAGATTAGAAGACCCACTCGAGTCCGTAGCTGAAGCGTTTTTCTCTTACCCACCGAGTTACATGTATTATGTGAAGGCGACGGGTGAACGATTTAGAAGTTTTGAGGCAGATCATAAGAAAGCTTATCAAGAACTCATGGAGAAAAAACTTATAGAACAGTTTAACAAATAGTTTTAGTTGTAATATTTTTTGACACTATCGTCTGTTATTTGTATCAATAAACATGTTTTATACTTTGCAAATGTTGCATTGTTATGCGTTGCTAAGTCATTAGGAGGCGTGTAGGTAATTAAGTGGATTAAGGCAATACGAATTTGCATAACTAAGTGTATCCCTATGGATAGATAGGGATTATTTTTAACGCAGGTGTATACCTTAAAATCAGGCGCGTGGCTTTGCGGGTGCATACATATATTAACGTACAACATATTTGTACACGGATCTTTTCGCGCTGGCGGAAAGAGCGGGCTTTGCCGGCAAAAATTTACACAATATTTCAGTTTTTAAATTTATTTCTTCAAAACGTTTTACAAAATTATGTTTCTAATATATATCGTCACTTGTTTCAAGGGTTTCGCTGTCAGATTCTTCATCATAGCTGCTTTCTTCATCGTGGCTGCTTTCATCTTCGGTAATCCATTTGGTATGTCTTGGGACTGTTATATGAGAACACAGTTTTAACCTCTTTGTAGTTGATAAATTACTTCGTTGGCCCTGCCTTCTCTTGCTTCCGCGCCCTGCTTGTTGTAGTAGGGCTTTTGCTCCTTTTTCGGCAAAGTCTTTAAAAACGTCACCTCCGTGAGTCTTTACAGATTCTTTTACATTTTTTCCTTGGAGTACATCTTGACCGACTTCTGTGGCTGCTTGCAATGCTCTTTTGCCAACAACTTTAGCGCCTTGTTTGAACAGAGGGATAGCATATCTCGCAAGGCTCTTGAAAATACTTCCGATCCCGTATCCTCTTTGAAAACGTGCACCATTAAACCCAGCGATGTTTCCGCCACGCTGCTGTCTCAAGAAATGGTCTCTCAGTAGTTTTTCGTCTACAACAAGTGTACCTCTCGGCATGTTGATGTGTTCAGTTCAACTTCACGCAGTCAACTAATCAAATATCACTTTGGTCGCCTATTTTATGGTTAAAGGACTGCCTTTCATCCGTTCTTATATCTATAATTTCACCTCGGCGACAATGTGGGCAGCTGGTGATTACATGTGTAAAATCTCCTTTGGACACTTGAAAATCACAGATCATACAGCGACAGTTTTTACAATTCGGATAAAAATCTGTCCATGTGCATACGGGGCACGTACTCAAATGGGAGATGTATATATCTTTGTTACAACTGTTACAAGTTGCGTCAGCATCAGATTGTGTATCCTGACGGAACCACTTGTGGGCTAACACAGAAAGGACATGTCCATTTAAGATTAGGCTTTTATCAATTTCCAATTCTGCAAGACCTTTTATAAAAATACTCAATCCAGTTGGTTCGGGAATATCTGGATGATAAGGCGTCACGCAATATTTCAGAAGGTCTACAATGTCAGTGCCTCGTATATTATGTCCTCTGTAAACGATTTCTCCTTTTCCATTCCAAGTCAAAATCCCCGTAGAGGTTAAAATAGAATGAAGGATTTCTTCGGCTTCGCGTTCATCATCAACGTCAAGATATTTGAGAATGTCTTCAAGTCTCCACTGTTCAGGAGATGATCGTTTGTCGCTATCCATGATTGGAATGAGGAGATGTCCTTCATACTTTTTATTTTATATTAATTCTGCAAGGCCTTCTAAAAGTGGTCCAAGTACCAATCCCAGAAAGCCACTTCCCCGCTGAACAAGAATTTCCTTTTTCGTCTTAAATTTTCTATCTCTGTCTGCTAAATCACCTAGATCTTGTTCGAAAGGTCTGAGTTTGTCCTTTGTTTCTTTAGAGTATGTGAAATTTTCTATACAATGACACAAGCATAGAATTTGCTCAGCTGATGCAGAATTAAGAAGAGCTTGCTGTTGAGTTGGATGAGAAGTACATAAGAGTTCTACAAATGGTCTGTGTTTCATATAACTGCTAGTCATCTCTGTTCGGCGGTCAGCAACGGAATGAAGATTCAGTTCGAAATAACACATATATAAGGATCGGCTCGCCCTCTATAGATTAGGTCTAGACAATAGTCTAATAGTCTTTACTATAATCTTTCATAGTCTTTACTATAGTCTTTCATAGTTAGGACTATAGTCTTTCATAGTCAGGATTATAGTCTTTCATAGTCTTTACTATAGTCTTTCATAGTCAGGACTATAGTCTTTCATAGTCTTTACTATAGTCTTTCGTAGTCTTTACTATAGTCTTTCATAGTCAGGACTATAGTCTTTTATATAGTCAGGACTATAGTCTTTCATAGTTAGGACTATAGTCTTTCATAGTCTTTACTATAGTCTTTCATAGTCAGGACTATAGTCTTTCA